GCCATGATCTCATGTCTCCTCTCCCCAGCAATTAGCAGTGGGGGACCAAATGGTTGCTGGTAGGGACCGGCTGCTGCGTGGGCATCCTGCTGTCACGTTTTGAGCAGGACCCAGAGTGTACTGCTGTGCAGTGATTCATGAGCAGGAGGGAGAAGGAGAGACACTCTCTCTTCTTCCCGTGTTTGGAGGTAGGCTGAGGGCAGGGGAGAGATGTTGTTCTTGGGAAGGATGTGTACCCACCTTTCTCTTAGAAGGGCATCCCCTGCAGCAAGATGTCCTTGGGGCGAGGCCAGGTTTTAATTGCTGCAGCAGCACCAGACACCCGAGTCATGGTCCCCCTCAGTGCCTCTACTCCCAGCCTGCCTCCTGCAGTTACTGGGGATGGTCCTTGAGCTACCAGGAATAGTGATGCCTCTGACACACTCCAGTAGAGCAGAAGACTCCCCACATGCCCTGGCTTTCTCTCCAGACAGGAGCTAGGGGCAGTTCAGCTGATCTGAGCTCCTAGCAGAGCTGTCTGTGCCCTGCCTCTGCCTGCTTGTCTGTCTGTCCTGCTACATTGACCCATGTCTGCTGGTATCTGCGCTGCTGTGCTGCACTGTGACTGGCTACCTCCTTGCCCCTGTTTATGCCTGGCTGGCTGTCTCTCTGTCTGACACCTGCCACTGTAAACGCTGCCTGTCCCCCCTCTCCATTTGTCTGTCTGTCACTGTTAGATTTTCTCTTCCCCGCCCTTCTCCTTTGGCCGCTATCTGGAGGCCTCTGCATTAGGTACAACTTGGGGACTGATTTTCTCTGGTTTATGGATAGCAGCCAGACTGCAATCTGCAGTGAAGGGACTATCCAGCTGGAGAACCTCTGCAAGGAGCCTCCTGCAAATACCTAGGCAAGACACTCGCTGCTAGCACTGCCCAGAAACTGCACAATCATGCCTGCCTCCACAGCACCACCAGCCAGAGATTTAAAGGGAGCTGAAATCTCTTGCAATGGGACTTGGGCATCTGCATGCCTCCAAAAGCTAGTCCTTCAAGCTTGAATTCCCTGGTTGCCTATGCTCACATAGCTGGGGGTGAGGGTGGGGATGTGGGGGAGACACAGCTTGTGTACATCTAGCTCCACATCTCCAAGGGACCCGCGTGTGTGTGTGTATGTGTGTGCACATGGTTGTGTGTGCTGCCCCACATCGCAGCTGTGTTTGGATGCAGACCTTGTGCTCGCATTCATTTTTTTGCACCCTGACAACATGGCAACACACGTCTTGTGTTTGTCTGTTTGCCTTGCATTGATCTGCTTCCAGTCATCTTAGTGGTTGTTTTCTGTGTCAGTCTGCCATGCCTTTAATCCCATCCTTAGCCAGCACGGTCAGTCTGTACCATCCTGGGTCACCGCTGTAGTTGTGTTGATGTGCACACGCAGCTGTGTATGACCCCACAGCCTGTCTTCATTCGATACCCAGCTGCCATAACAGATAGGGTCAGGCCTTTCCACTCCTCATGACAGCACACTGGGAACCCTGCCGCACACTCCCTGGGCGTCATGGGCCCCCCGCCAGCCTGGATGTCTGTCCCGGTTTGGGGGGGGCTCACGTAGTGAGCAAGCAGGCAGAGCCAAGGTTTTGTAGAATTAGCAAAACCCCTCTGCACAGCCAGCTTGCAAAACCTCAGCACTCGAATGTCACCTGGGGTCAGGTTCTGCTGGAGCAGATAGGACTTTTTGTATCAACTTTCACAGCGCCAGCCCTTTTTGCAGAGCCCAGCCAGGGCATGTGGGAGGAGGTGAGGACAGGGCAGGCTATCCTGCATGCTTCTGCTCCTTCCTAGGATGCCTTGGGACCCAAACTCCTAGGGAGAGCAGCTCCCTGATGCTGCCCTCCTCTGCCGTTATCTCCACCTTGCCTAAAAGCAGGGAAGAGGTCTCGCCAGGCTGCTTTCTGGGTCCAAAGATATTTTGCCTATGCAGAGGCAGCTCTGCTTAGCCCCTTCCCAACCACGTGGCGATGGGAGCTTGTGGGGAGCAAGCCCTTCTTTGTTGTCCTCACTGCCACCAGCCCTGGGCCTAAAACTTAAGGCTTGTGGCCAGTTGCACCACAGATGGAGCTTCAGTTGTGTCCCCTGCCATTCCCGCCACCATTTCCCATGCAGAAGAGACTTGCGTTCCACGGGTCTTTGGTGACTTGGTGCAGGCTGGCCTCGTCGGGCACCTGAGCCCTACTCATTTGGGCAGGGGGAATACCTCCCCCCTCCTCAGCAAAGCCCAAGCTAAGTTCTTTCCACTTCCGAAGCACTGTCCTCTTCCAGCAAAACAACTCCCACGTTGCCGAGGAGGATGAGGGTTGGCAGCTCTTCAGCAAAATGTGATGTTCCCATAGCAATGGGGATCTGTTGCCCTTTCTAGCCTGCAGAAAGAGGGGAACCGGGGCTGGGGGGGGG